TTGTTATGCCTCCCCCTCACATGTTACCAACCTGATTTAAAACACAACAAATTGAATTTATTTGAGTATAAATACTCAAAAAATAAACAACAAATCTGTTGAAATTACCACTGTGAACAACACCCTTGACTGACTAATTTTTGCAAACACAGACTGTTTTTTTTTTTAAGAATATAAAAAGCAGAATAAAATCAATTGCAACATAAATAAGACCTTTTTCTTTGTTCAGAAAAAGATATTTTACCTTTGAACAGCAAGCTCATTTTTGACCATTTCACCATTATTCTGCTGTTCTTCTCTCGCTCGCCTTTTGTATTTATGCAGCGATGCTCCCAAAAGTCAGCACATGTTATGACAGCTCTTTAGCTGTGAGCACATCAGCACGTTTTGTCCACCGGGAAAATCAATACCTTGTTTAGAGCTGAAATTGGACAGTCAATGGGCACAATCATCTGTTTCCAATGACAGTAAATGGCAGTTACTGGAATCAGAATGTCAACTGTTTGGACCGACCAGCAATCAAAACTACGGATCAATTTTTCCACTTATTTTGCAGTTATAAACATCAACCCATATAAACCCATAAATTATGTATGGTTAGAGGAGTAAGATGTATCCAGGTATGGCTCAACGTACAAAACTTCTTTAAATTTATTAGAAATGAATTTAAAGCAGTGATCTGACTGGCAAACATACAATTATGTACACAAACTTCAGTATTTACAACATAAATGAGTGAATTCAGTATCTGTTGGGATTATTAGGAGAAAAATAAATACAAAAACTTAACTAAGGTTTAAGTGTTAGAAACAGGAAGGACAGCAGTTTTCAAACACACATGTCCTCATTTTTCTGCTCTCTATTTTTGTTCTATCTCTTGATTAGGTGCAAATTTATTCCTATCCTTGCTAAATTCTTGTCCTGCTTAAAAAAGCATGTCCAAAATTACTCAGTTTGGCCCTGTCCATTCTGTTTTTCTAACTGCAGCAACTGTAACTCACCACACAATACATAGATTTTACTCAATTTTAAGATTTTTGTGTCAGAAATCGGGAGCAACATTGAATTGTTTATAAAAATAAAAGGAGAACTGTTTTTATTATTACCTGGGTCATTTAAAAATTGCAGTTTGTATTGGTGACACAATGGAGAACAATTATTTAGCTAAAAGAACAACAGCAAAAAAAGCCCCATAAAATTGAAATTCCAGCCATATGTAATTTATTCCAAAAATGTTGAAATGTTTTGAAGAAAACTACTTATATTTCTACAGGGCAAATCTCCAGAAAATAAGGTCTGCAAACTGTTTTTGCTTTTATTTTGCCTTGAGAGTAAGTTTCTTCCTTTTTCTAGTCTCTCAGCTCATTGGTACAAACCTTGTTTCACTATGAATAATGATGTTCTATGAACATCTTTACACAGCATCCTCACAAGGTCTTTAATTGTTTGTGAGGTTGATACACACTTTGTATTTGTTTTCTTTTTTTTTTTAAAATAGAAAGAAAATGTTCAACTCTTTCCTCTCTTTCAAACAAAATTTTTTTTGATCAATGCAACTGACTGCGAATATGAAAAGCTTAGTCTGATTTAGACTTAACAGTGAGACAAAATGGTTATTTTTCTTTTTATACAGTCTCCAGTTTTAATTTTATACAATATTTAATTGTGCGACCATTATTGCCCTCAAGTTAAAACTGCTGCAGTGGAAGTGTCGGTTCTTCAGTATTTGCTATGTGAAACTGTAGATCTTCTATTAATTTGTTGTTGATTATTGGTCCAGTTAGAATCATGAATCATCTGAGTTTTGTTGAAGCAGAGAGGACTTCCCGTACTCCAAAGATATTACACTTCTTTCATTGTCCCTTATCAGATCCAAGAATATTATTGAGTCCAGAACTGAGATTGGATTGGCTCTGTGCAGATCAGTTCACTGAAGTTAAGATTTTCACTTTTCAAAACCTCTCAGCTGAACCCACGTGAGAAAAAATCAGCAATTACTGATTAAGATAGACACAAAATCGTTTTGCGTTGCCCACAAATGCATATTACTCTTGGCTCTTCGGTGGGTTAAGTCACCAACACAAGAAAGTTAACTTTAAACATTAGTTTCTTTGTGAAAGGTGTAAAATCATCAATGCTGACTGTAAAATGCAGCCTGCCACTCCACAGCATATTTTCAAACCTCTTTTCTGCTGAGGTGACAACTTCAAAAACAAACAAAAAAAAAAAACCTTTGTGCTGGCAAAACAACTTGCCCTATGTTTTCATTTGAACAAAACAAAATGGTTTCTTTTTTCAGGACATTTTTTATGTTTACTTTGGGACTTATAGCAAACAGAAGAAAGAAATCCAACCTTGTTGTCCTTGGGGGTCATATTTCATTATTCTTTCATCAGTCGTTATGGTGTCCCTTCGCTGTTTCTCGTTAGTCTTTGAAGAAAAAGACCCATCGAGACATAAATGTGTGTGTGTGTGTCATTGGGGACAAGATAACAGTAGTTCAGGTGATTGGAGGTCACTGCATCCTGGCTGGGGGTGGAGCTGGGTGGGTGGGGTGTCATGGAGGCCTGGCCGTTAAATGGCGGAGTGGGAAACAGAGGGGGTGTGTTGCGGGGACGCAGGGCCACATCACCTCAGGCTTCTCCTGGCCGCCTGTGATTGATGGGGAAGAGCTGATGAGCCAAGCTCCCAATGTCACTCTACAATTAAATAACTCTCACCACTGAACTGCTGTGGACCCCTCCTCCTCCTGTACTGCAATAAACCACCCCCGTCTCCTCCCTTTCACCTCTTTCTCTACTCTCTTGCTCTGCCCACTCCCCTCCTTTCACTCTTTGTCACTCTTTTTTTTAAAGACATTTAATGATCTCTATATGATGCACCCTAAAATGTCACCTTCTTTGCTTTTGTCACTTGTTTACCACAATCCAGGAAGCAGGTGTTTATCCTCAGCTGCTGGTTGTCCAGTTCAAACTTTGCCAGCTGTTCTTCCAGGTATGACAGACAGAGGCTGCTCTTTCTATTAGTTTGGGTCAGTGCTCCCTTCCCAAACGAGAAGGAGCTGCACTATTGTAATGTGCCTGCTTCCAAAAATGCAAATAACGCTGCGAAAAAACACAAAGAAGATAATCCATCCATGACTAATGACTATAATATGAAACCTAATGTGGAAACAGGTGTTTAAACTTGGATAAAAATATGTAAACCATGTGCTCTGAAGCAAACTCCAAAGAGCAAGCTGGAAGAGAATGCAAAGATTTTACTTGAATAATGTGATGATGCATACAGTTTGCTGCATATTGCCACTAATTAGGCCTATGACTAATATTGGTTTGTTCACAGTGGGCTGCAGTTCATAGAAGCCAACCTTATTCTGCATACTTTTGTCACCCGATGAGCTCACTTTGCAGCTAATTGGGCAAAGTATAAAACTCTCTGCGCACAAATTTGTATCTTCTGGAGAACATTTCAGATGTTAGAGGGAGTTAAGACATGGACTTTTGAACATAAATGTTCCTTGCATTTCAGACATATTCATCTTTTACATTTTCATTTTTATATATTAAAAAAAAAAAATCTGAAAAGTGTCTGGGTTTTATTTAGGGGTATCAAATTAAAAAGAACAGAAGACAAACGCATGCCAGACTTTTCACAATTTTTATTTGAAAAGCACATGATCAGTTTCCTTCAGCTCTTGGTTTTTTGTGGTTCTTTGTCTTGGGCTGTCATAAAACCCCTGGTAGAAGATGGAGGTGGCAGCTTCATGGAGGTGGCAGCTTCATGATACGGGAATGCTTTTCTTCAGGAATGACGGAAACAAAATTCAGAGCTGTTTGGAACATGGGGTCGGCTAAATGTACGGAAATGATTGAAGTAAACCTGTTGGTAGTCAGAGATTGAGGTTTGCCTCCCGGCGGAAAATGACTGCAGACATCCAGAGCCAAAATAGAAATGGTTTCATCACAGTATAATAATGACTTACAATGGCTAAATTCAGATTGTGTGGCAAGACATGAAAATTAATGTTCACAGATGTTCTCTACATAATCTAATTGCAGAATCAGATATTTTGCAAAGTAGAATGAGCAAAAAGTGTCTTGCCTTGAAACTACCCCAATTGACTAAACAGGGGAATGTACAACTCTATCCCACACTTTTGTATTTTGCTTTATAAAACAATTAGATAAAATTGCATATGTTTGCTCCTCATTTACAATTAAAATCCCAATAAGTATGTTGATGTCTCTGGTTGCAGTGTGACGTAATCTAAAACTATTTCAATATGTTTTCACTCACATATAAGTAAAATCATGCATCATGCATCATGCTGGGGAATAATTCCTTCTTCAGTGCAGACACAATGTCAAAAATGTTCAGATGGTTAACACTTTTTAAGACACTGTGTCAATAAAGGTTACGTCACCCAACATTGAGGAAAATAATTCTGGTGGAAAATCCACTCTGCACATCAATCTAAACACAAAATCCCTATAGTGAGATAAAGTGGTAGCAGCATCATGATGTGGGAATACATAAAATAATCTGTTACGTAAAATGTTGAAGTTTGTGGTTGTAAGTACAAAAATAGGAAAAGTTTAGTGAATTTTTCAAGAAGTGTACTTGAGAAATGTGCTGTTTTTACATGCTATTGGCAGGATTTTACTGTCATCGCAACAGGAGGTGAATGTATGATTCCGATTGGTTAAAGATGTCAAGGAATTTGCATTGACTTATTTTCTCTACTACTTCTTCCTCTTACCACTACCAAGGCATTCATTTAGCAGCATACATGCCATCTGCTGCCAAAAACTTGGCAGCTATAATTTTTTGGTTCTCCGTTGCTTCTTGCCAGACGCACCGCGTGTGTCTTCTGGCTTTATCACCTCGCCAACTTATTTTTGGTTTACAAAAAAAAAAAAAAAAAAAAAAGAGAGAGCGAGGAAAAAAAAACTCCATCCTCTCCAGTAAGGAGAGGATTTGGCTCAGATGAGAGCGTTATTTCCCGTCTCCAATCCGCTGCTGCCGCCGCCGCTGCGCGTTCCTTGTCGCCTGTACAGTACAAGAGGGATGTAGAGACTAAACCCCGAACCCTGCAGCTGGGGTTCCCTGCACACCACCGAGGCGACAGTGCGCAGGAGAGAGATAGAGAGCGAGAGAGACACAGAGGGAAGGATGGAAGGAGGGAGGGAAGAGGAGAAGGTGAGAAACAGAGACGGGGAAGAGTCAGAAGCGCCATCTCCCTGTTGTGGCTGAGCGTTTACGCGCGATCCGAGAGCACATCTCCAGCCTCTCCGGGACTAAATCCACCATGATCCACCAAACTCCTAATTCTCACACAGTCTTTCTTTCTTTTTGGGCTGCAATAAGAGAGGGAAGGTGCAACTTTTGCCAACGGAAATCATCCATGTGAAGTTTCTTTGGTAAGTAAATGTTCGTGTTTTAAATTTTTATTCATAGAATGCTCTTTTTTTTCCGTGTCATTTCCACTCTGTTGCTCACTTAATTCATGCATTTGCTTGTATTACCTGCATATTGCATCCCATCGTTTATCCTGTCATTAGTATTCCACGGACACGGGTTTCCTGCGGCGGGCGCTCACGGGAATGTTTACTGTCGGCGCTTCCCCGCTGCCTGGCTCCCCATCATGCGCTTATTTACCACCTCCTGATGTTCTTAATGCTCGCTGCTGGCCTGTTTCCCCCATCAAACTTCTAATCGGTTTGCGGAAATGATTCGCGCATGTCTCGGTTCTTGTCTCATTTCGTCGGGAAAACCGTGGCTGGCTGATCGCGTCCAGACGCGCTGCGAACTTTTCCTGCACGGCGCAGCTGTGCTGACAGTTAATGCGCAGTGATTGATGTTTAACAGGAGGGTCAAAAGCAGCGAGGTCACGGGAAATTTATCTTTGAATAACTTTGATGCAAATGCCGCGCAGTTTGATCAAGTTGTGTGTTTTGGAGTGAAGTCAATTTTCCATGATTTTTTACTCAAGTCTCCGTTTAGCTTTCTGAACAAAATAGAGTGTGTGGTATTTGCGTGACATTGACTGCATTCAATTATTGCTTGAGTGCACTAGCGTTACAATTTCATTTCCATTTAATAGAAACCTCATTGAAAATGTCATGCTTTTTTGTTTTCCACTTGGTGAAGATGATTTTTCTTGTAAATCTGATTGTTTGCTTGGTTGGAGCTAATGCGCAATGATTGAGGAGGTGAGGGCTGGGATGAACTTTTTCATGACTTTTTAAAGACTTTAACATCGTTGCAAATTTCTGACACTCTCAGGCTCACATAATAAATCCTTCTTCAAAACTTTTTTTTTCCTCCAAAATGGGATTCATGAGGTACAACATTTTGTGTCATGCAAGGTTTAGAAAGTCAGAAAATATATAAATATTTATGCATGGAGGTCTAAAGTTAAAAGGTCAATTTATTAAAAATGAGAAAAAAATACAGTGATACATGTCAATCTAAAAAAAAAAAAAACAACAACAACAACAAAAAAAAAACATATTTTGGTGTCCAAAGAATATAAATTAAGAATACAAATTTCTTAAAATATTGGAACATCTGGCTCCTCACAGACATGCTGTCTTTGTTCACGCTGTTGTTTCTGATTTCAAACTACAACTTTTGGATATTGTATTTAAATTTCAATTCATAATTGGTTTTGGTGGCAGAAGATTGGAAACTAGAGCTGGCAAAGGGGATGGTGGGGGCGTGGGAATGGCTAAACCAATAATACTGTTGACTCACACAAGCGTTCTGCATACAATTTATTTGTATTAATGAAAAATCAAACTTAATTGAATTATCAATTTAATAAATGATCTGCTAAATTACAGTTCTTTTTTGTTACAGAACTGTTCATTTTTTGATTCATTCATACTTGCGTCATTTTGAAAATTTTCTTTAGTGAGTCACTTTCAAACTATTATTCTCAGCCACAGCTGCTGATATGAGAGTATCATGATGAATTTAAGGTTCTTTTCTAACATTTTTACTTTTATATCTCTAACAGAGTCAGTGCCCTGATCCACCCAGACTCCACCCCTTTGAAAACTTAATTGAAGAAATGTCTTTTTTTTTTTTTTACTAATTTCTGTGCCTGTTTAATATCCAACTTTAAATATACAGTGTTTGTGCAGCAAATGCTTTATTTGCATGCGCCACATAACATGACAGACCCCCAATGGCGACATAAAATTTATCACCTCATTTGAATGCATGTGTGGAACCACATTTGCTGGTTGTGAGCGTATCAGAAACCATAATACTGAGAGCTGAAATGCAACTCAAGCCATGGAAGTGACCCCATTTCCAAGTTGTATTTAAATCTAATGTTGAAAAACAGTTCTTAAGCTTTTATGGTTAGAAAGATAAATCTAGGAATAGAGATGTTTTTTCACACAAAACCACCCGGGGCAACTAGCATACTTTTTTCCTATACTTTTTAATACTTATTTTTTCTATAAAAAATAAGTATTTTGAACTAACCTTTACTTTTTTCCATTACTTAACCTCCCAGAATCATAACTATCTGTATGTAAACATATTTATATTCTGCTGTGAAGTTCAATCAGCTGCATATCTACTTGAGAAAGTTGTATTCAAGCAAATCAATGAAGGAATGGTAGGAATCAGCGAGAGGATCCTTTCAACCAGAGGGCTCAGGTTCAAGCTTCTGGCTCAGCATGAGTCTGCTCTCGCTCTCTCTCTCTCCCTCAGTGTGTGTTGTAAATAACCTGAAGGATAACATGGAAGCTCCTGCAGACAGTAAAAATCAATGAATCTTATTACGATTATTACAGTTATGTGGCAACTACTTGTTTTACTTCAGGAACAAAGCAAAAAGCATCACTGGTGTGTGCACTCGTTAAAAAAGTAAAGAAAAGAAGAATAATCTTGATTTAGAAGCTTTCTTAAAACATATTTAGCTTAAACTTTGCACAACTTCTTATGGCATTTCCCGCTTCACCTTCCGAGTGATGGATGAGCGGACGGATAGGAGAGAGCGTGCGATTGCTAAAGTGAGAGCTGCGGTGCTGGTAATCCTGTTGTGAGGCTGGAAAATGGGATTAGAGCAAGACAAACAGAGCCAAAGGAAGACTGGAAGACGCTTTACATTCACAGCTCTGGCTTACATTTTCACTTAATTTAATGACACCCCTTTGACACTGGTCAGCGATGAGTCTCTGGAGGTGACCGAATGCTGATTCAGACTCACCTGCTGTCCTGCCAGATTGTTGATACTCTAGTGATGTCTGAAACTAGTGAAATTCAGCATCTTTCTCAGATTAATGTGTTCTACGTGTGCCACTGTCCCCAGGTGTTGGCAGCATTATGCTCTGGGATTGTTTAGAAAGTAACAAGGCAGATAACAAGAGTTAATGAGACATTGTGGTGTTGTCTGAATATATTTAAGCTAAAGCTGAAAAGCTATGCTTTTTTTTTGCTATCTTGGAAGTTAGACACATCTTTGAGAGTTTGGAAGCAAAACATTGCACATATTTTATTTGCAAGCAAGTTTACAGAATTTGCATATGAAAAAAGGATCTAATTGTCTCTTTACAAGACATATTGGAAATGCTGTCCCTTGGTAAAAATTAATATAGCTGCTCCCAACTTTTTCCACTGGTTGATGAAGATGCAACGCTCCGACTGATGGTTCCAAACGTTTATTAAAGGAATTTTCTGTAACATAAACGCCCAAGACCACCGTGAACACTGCAATAAAATACACAGTGGCAAATATACATCAGTTAAACCGTCATGTTCTCTTATATATAAATTGTTCAAATGAAACTTATTACACATATACAAACACAAGAATATTCCATTCAATTGTCCATACCGTATGCCCCTCCAACCAGAAGGTTAGGAGTTGCTAGAAGTCCATTTCTTCCAAATTTCAGTTCTTTGTCTTTCCTATTACCGCTTGCAAAACCCAACTGAGTATGAAACGAAACTTACAGCCCTTTATCGAAAGCATCACGTGACCAAGTGATGACGTAATTGCTGAAGTGGTCAGATAACGTTATTAACCAAATCAAACAGTATTTCCCAAAATATACATAAAGAAAATGCTTGACTGCGTTCGCTACACTGCCACCAAAATTACAAAAGGTTTATTTCCACCATTCAAAGAAATTAAACATGTAATTTTCAATAACTTCAAATTTAACCTTTACCCACAATTTCCATCAATAGATCTTACAATAGGTGACTGATTTTCATGTGAATGCTGAGCTATTTTGAATAATATTCAACTAACACAACTAATTTCTGCACTGGGCGCTCAAGAAATGAAGGTTGCGTTAAGCGTTCACCCTTTGGTCCTAACTTATTTTGGCCTACTTGTATTTTCACCTTTCGCACGAGACCATCATCATCTTCCTGTGCCTCAACTACTCTAGCTAGTGGCCACTCATTTCTGGGAGTGTTATCATCCTTAACGATAACTACATCTCCAATTTGCACGTTTCGTCTGGTTGCATGCCACTGCTGACGAAGGTTGATGTTGGTTAAGTATTCTCGGCGCCACCTGTTCCAGAACTGTTCTGAGAGATACTGTACTTTGCGCCATCTTTTTCTTGCATACAGATCTTCTTGAACGAACTTTCCTGGAGGTGGAAGGGGTATTGTAGACTTCATAGTAAGCAAGTGATTGGGTGTCAGGGGTTCAGCACCTTTGGGATCTGTTAGGGTGTCTGTTGTCAGTGGGCGACTGTTGACTATGGACATGGCCTCATAGAAGAATGTTCTTAATGAGGAGTCATCCAGTCTTCCGTTAGCCTGAGCTAGAACAGAGCTCATCACACTCCTTGTCGTCCGAATCTGACGCTCCCATATGCCTCCCATATGACTGGCTTCGGGAACATTCATAAGGAAGTCACATTCCTTTCTTGCGAGATAGGTCGCAATCCTTTCCTTGTCAAGTTCCATCAAGCACTTTCCCAACTCACTCTTTGCTCCTACGAAATTTGTACCTTGGTCAGATCTAATTTGTCTGACTGTTCCTCTTATTGCAATGAAACATCTTAATGCATTTAGAAATGCATCAGTTGTCAGGTCCTCGAGCATCTCGATATGAATGGCTCTTGAGCTTAGGCATGTTAACAACAGCCCATATCTCTTGTACTCTTTTCTACCTTGCTTCGTGTAAAAAGGACCAAAACAATCGATGCCTGTATATGAGAAAGGAGGAGATGGCTCTATTCGATCAACAGGCAAGTCAGCCATACGCTGTTCTTCAGTTCGACCCCGCACCCTCCTACAGGTCACGCAACTCCTGATGTGTTTGGCCACAACTTTACTAGCACCCATAATCCAGTAGCCATTAGCTCTGAGATCGTTCAGTGTTTGCCCTCGGCCTTGATGCTGTGTTCTTTTATGGCAATGATCAAGTATCAGATGAGTT